AGTTCCACATTAATATAGTGACTTTCAGTCCCTATCTGCTGTGAAAAATGACAGCAGTGAGAAAACAGCTGTAAAAAAAGCATCTTATCATTGAGATATGAGTATGTTTACAAAAGTTTAGCAAATTGCTGGGAATAAAAAAAATAATTCATACTTAAAAGCTCTCACATAGCCTTATGCTTTATATGCTTTAAATAGCTTCTTGAAAAGACATTTGATTTTATTTATGAGCAACGTGCAATAAGTAATAATACTACTTTCTAAAGTAAAAAGTAAAGTAACACATTAATTTAAAAAAAAATAAGTAATATAATTTAAGTTCATTTACCTTGCTTAATTGGCATTAAAAAAAATATTGCGGAATAAAATTACCTTAGTCAGGTTGAATCACACACTCAATGAGAAGATTGAGTTAATGAGGGAACAGAAAGTCGTCTGGCACTCATCATCATCATCAGGTCTCCTTTTCACAGCAGTGTACTGTTCCAGTAACAGAATAACTCAAACTATTGGTTTATTTCGAGTCAGAGGAGGTATCCATATAGTACTAACTGAAGACGCTAATGTTTCACATTGTAGGTAGCACATTGTAGGTAGCACATTTTGATGATGCAATATGCTGCTCGTCAGATTTTGCTACCAGTGTAAATTTTAATGTGGAGTAGTGTGATATAAATCTGTAATATTGCCCAAACCTATTCTCTAACCCCAACCTCAGAACCATTCAAATACAAGGTTGGTAGCATAATCTGATGGGTAGGATAAAATGTCAGGCCACTGGTTAAAAAATTATTTTGCGAATCAGCCATCATCACTACAGACAACTTTGATTTGTGTTTAATGTATGAAGAGTTTAATATTTAGGTCTGTGGCTCTTCATTTGTTTCCAGTAAGCCACAATTTTTAAACTTATATTCACTATTATTTTTTTTTAAATGCAATCTGTATTCGTTGAATTGATTAAGAATCAAGAGATTTGTCAATAACTGAATTGAATGAGAGCTAGAATCAAATTAGAACGTCAGAAAAGTAAGTGAAAATGTCCCTGAGGGGATTTATTAATTATTTACTTGTGTATCTTATGTAACTTTAGTTTCTTTATGTAACACAAATATTATAAGATTATTAATAAGAATCATGCACAATATTTCTTCATGGAACTTGTTTTGTTATGGTAGAACATAAATAGGCTCTCCACAACAATACCTGAAGTGCTTATTTCTCCATAATGTAGCTGTATGATGTAACATTAGGATCTATCTAGATTTACACCTGTGAATGAGAAATTTAGGTCATGTCCACAATCAACACACTTGTTATCAGTATTTTAACACATGGCTCACCAGGGCTGCAGAGACACATTTTCTAAACAATAAATCCATGTAAGTTATTATTACTTTGTAATCAAACTTCAATCATTTTAGTTTGTCTACAAACCCAAATCAAAAAAGACAGTATGAAAACACAAATGAAAAAAAAAAAGGAGGAAGTGATTTCTAAATTAACTTTACTGCAGACAATACAACAAACATTATTTAATGTGTTCACTATGATTTTTATTGTTTTTTTTAATAAACACGTATTCCAATTTTGATTCTTGCATAACATTTTAAAGTAAGAGGGGACAGAAGCAATTTAGGGCTAATAATCAGGTAAATTACTTAAATAATGATTTGATTTGAAACAGCTGATGTCAACAGGTGATTGTAACTTGATCTGGTATAAAAGCAGCATCCAAGAAAGGTCCTTTAGAAGCTAAGATAGGCTGAGGATCGCCAGTTTGTCAACAAATATATGAGAAAATTATTTAAATGTTAGAAAATGTTCCTCAAAGAAAGATGGGAAGACATTTGGATATTTCACTTTTAAGAGTGCATAAATTAATTAAAAGATTCAAGGAATCTGTACAACTGTGATCTCAGATTCCTCAGGCGCACTGCATCAAGAATTGTCATTCATCTTTAAGCGATATCACCACATGGGCTTATGACTTCTTTGGTAAACCTTTGCAAAGTACCACAACATGTAGTTACATCCACAAATGCCAGTTAAAACAGTACTGTGCCAAAAGGAAGCCCTATGTTAACAGTGTCCAGAAACGCTGTTGACTTCTCTAGGCTCTGCGGTATTTGGGTTGGATCACAACACAGCGGAAACGTCTAGTGTGGTCAGATGAATCAGTATGTCAGGTATTTTTTTGGGAGATATTGAGTCTGTGGGCTCCGGACCAAAGAAGAAAAGGATGATCCAGACTGTTACCAGCAACAAGTCCTAAAGCCAGGGTCTGTTGTGGTATAGGGTTGCGTCAGTGTCCTTGGTAAAGAAAACTTGCACTTCTATGATGGCACCATTAATGCTGAAAAGTACATGGAGATTTTTGAGCACAATATGCTGCCTTGTTTTTCAGAGACGGCCATCCATATTTCAACAAGACAATGTAAAACCCCATTCTGCACACATTACAATCCTGGCTGCGGAGGAAGAGGAGACAGGCGCTTGACTGGTCGGTCTGCAGACCAATCTGTCTCCAGTACTATAGAGATTGTGTGGTGCATTCTGAAGTGTAAAAAAACGACAGCAAAGACCCCGTACTGTTATCCACCTTAAGACTTATCTGCAGGAAAAATGGGACAAAATTACACCTGAAACACTTCATCACTTGGTGTCTTCAGTTCCTAAACATCTTTGAAGTGTTGTAAAAAGGAATGGCAACATTCCAAAGTGATGAATGCTTTACTGTTACAACTTTTTTGAAATGTGTGGCAAAAACCAAAATCAGATAAAGTGTTTATTTAGAAAAACAATAAAAATCACGAGGAACACCTCAAATAATGTTTGTTGTATTGTCTGCAATTAAATAATAGTAAAATTAAATTTAGAAATCACTAGCTTTTTAAATTTATTTGCGTTTTCTATACTGTCCCAAATTTTTCTGATTTGGGGTTGTACAAAAAAATTGCAATATCTTTCTTTTGATGTTGCTTAATTTTATCCACTGATTCACTATTTTAAATAATAATAATAATAATAATAATAATAATAATAATAATTATTATTATTATTATTATTATTATTATTATTTTATTTTATGAATCTGGACTAATTTAGAATCTTTCTATAATCTAATTTGCAGACTTGTATATAATCATCATATCTATACCACTGTCTGACATTAAGGCAACTTTCCAGGGTGCAATAAACCTGTTGATTTTTGGACTTTTCCTCGCTTCACATTCCTGCAGATCTATTTTGGGGAAAAATCAATGCTCTGTGCAAACTAAACTGTCTATATTAAGCGAGGGACAATGTTCAATAGCTATTTTTGAAAGTAACCTAAATCCCAATTTTATAATCAAATCACTAAAACTGTATTACATTTTGATTTATAATCAAAAATATAATAATATAATATAATAGGTTATTGTGTTTACAAGGTGACGCAGTGGCGCAATAGGTAGTGCTGTCGCCTCACAGCAAAGAAGGTCACTGGTTCGAGCCTCAGCTGGGTCAGTTGGCATTTCTGTGTGGAGTTTGCATCTTCTCCCTGCGTTCGCGTGGGTTTCCTTCGGGTGTTTCGAATTCCCCGACAGTCCAAAGACATGTGATACAGGTGAATTGGATAGGCTAAATTGTCTGTAGTGTATGAGTGTGAATTAATGTGTGTGGATGTTTCCCAGAGATGGGTTGCAGCTAGAAGGGCATCCGCTATGTAAAAACATGCTGGATAAGTTGGCAGTTCAGTCCGCTGTGGTGACCCCGGATCAATAAAGGGACTAAGCCGAAAATAAAATGAATGAATGAATTGCGTTTACATCTTTCCTCTGATCTCCTGAATATTTTGGTTGGCTTATTGAAGATATTTTGAAACTATACCATTTATCTACATAATAAATTACCATAATATAATAACAAAATTGATAAAGATTTGCAGAAAAGCTTAGAGCAGGGGTCACCAATCCTGGTCCTGGAGGGCCGGTGTCCCTGCAGGTTTTAGCTCCATCTTGCCTCAACACACCTGCCTGGGTGTTTCAAGTATACCAAGTAAGACCTTGATTAGCTTGTTCAGGTGTGTTTGATTAGGGTTGGAGCTAAAATCTGCAGGACACCGGCCCTCCAGGAACAAGTTTGGTGACCACTGGCTTAGAGGATCATAACAGAAGAACTCAGATACGCATTGATCAAAGATTATCACCAATAAATACAACTAACAACATTAGGTTTTACTTACCAAGACAAGAAACTAGACACTAGAAACTAAACAAGACACAGGTGTAAACCATAGGTAACCACAACAACAAACAACAGCAACATAGGTAAACAAAGCAACAAAACCTTACAGCGAAACTGAGGAACACTGCAATAAAACACACAAGAATATCAAGTAACAAATGTAGTGGCAAGCACCGATGTTTCCTATAGCTGAAATTTTGAAAGAAAAATTCTCACATATCTGTTTTCTTCACAATGTGACTAAATCAAAATCAAATAATAATAATAATAATAATAATAATAATAATAATAATAATAATAATAATAATCATCATAATAACCATAATAATAAAACAATCATAATAATAAAATAATAATATTAAAACAATAATAATAATAAAATAATAATAATAATAATAATAATAATAATAATAAAACAACAATAATAATAATAATAAAACAATAACAATACAGTAATAACAATACTTCTAGCACTTCTTTGTATCAGAATAATGCATTTGTTTGTAAAATAATAATAATATTATAAAAATAATATTTGAAATGTACTAAGGAGGTAAAGATAAGGTCATGTTCGTAGTGAAGCGCGTGATCGTGCAGAGTGGCCTTGACAGCTTGGTTTCCAAGGTGACAGGTGAGATTAAATGTGTGTGTGAGTGTGTATGTTTAATCAGGAGTGTGTGTGTGGACACAGAGGGCATTGATCTCTCTGACCACACCTCTCCACCTCCTCCAGCGCAGCATAAAAAGAGCCGAGCATCTCCAAGCACCTCAAACACATTCAAACTTTAGCAAATCATCCTACAATAGTTTCAAGAGACCTGCAAAGATGCCGTGTCTTACTTCAGCCCGTAGACAGAGGATACCGAGCGACTTTGAGTCAGTGCTGGAGAAAATCCTCATGGTAAGAGACAAAACAAAGACAACTAGTTCAGTCTAGAGATTTTAGAGGCACTTTTAGCTCATTTGTCATTCACTTTGAGTGCAACAAATGCAGACAATTTTATGCATAAACATTATTCATCGGATTTACTAAATATATTTAAGGTAAGTGGTTGCAATTTATATGGGCTGATTTTAACAAACAAATTAAGTTGAATATCATTGCATTCATTTATTGATTTTTTGTTTGAATTCAGTCTGTATAAATTGTTTGCAACCACTTACCCTAAAATATTTAGTAAATCAAATGAATCTGAATTTTTTTTCAGTGTGGCTTTGTGCTAATATATGCCTTTACGGCATGTTCCACAGGTGGACCAAATTCTGTCTGAGTTTGTGTTGAGTAAAGAAGAGCTGGAGGAGGTGATGAGGCGAATGCGGAGAGAGATGGAGAGAGGACTGCGTGTGGAGACACATGATGAAGCCAGTGTCAAAATGTTGCCCACGTATGTCCGGTCCACACCTGAAGGCTCCGGTAAGAGTTCAGATCCTCATGCTGGACAGTGAATCTTACACTTTAAAAAAAAATTATATATATATATATATATATATATATATATATATATATATATATATATATATATATATATATATATATATATATATATTTTTTTTTTTTTTTTTTTTGCTGCCTGTTTAAACTACTAATTTAAATTAGCTGGCTTTGACGTCAATTAGATTAATTTAGTTGATTTGTGTTGGAACAACATGGATTTGTTGGGAGCCCAGCATTTTTTTACTTTTGTAAAAAGTGAGTAAACCAACTGCCTTAAAAGCAACAAGTTGACTTTACAAAAAATAATGTAAGTAGACCCATTGTAACTTGGAATTGTTAAGTTGACTTAGTTTGTATGATTATGCAAATAGTACTCACTTTTTAAAAAATAAAAGTTAACTAAGCACTTTTTTCTGATAAACCAATATTTACTTATTGTTTTTTCCCCCAGCTTTACTGTATATAGCAAAATGACATACAGTAAAATAAATCTGCTTTGCCAGACAGTGCACTTATATATTCAACACAGTCTATAATTGTAGAATTTATAAACTTAATGAAGCACCAAATATTTAATATTTTAATAATTACAGTAATCATTTGAAAGCAGAAGTGCTAAAATAATCTGACTTTGTAAAAAGGGATTAGTTGACTTTAAAAGTGAGCTCAATTATCATAATTATAAAAATGAAGTCAACTTAACAGTTCCAAGTTATAATAGGTTTATGTACATTATCTTTGTAAAGTCAGCTTGTTGCTTTTAAGGAAATTGGTTTACTTGGGTTGAGTAACTAGTCACTTTAAAAAAAAAGGCAGGGTTCCACACAATTCCTTTATGTTGACTCATCACAAATCAATTAATTTAACTTAACACATTTAAGTGGATTGAACATAAAACAATTGTTTGACAAAGAAAAAACTCAATAATTGTGTTGTTTGAGTTCATTTGAAATAAGTAGTTTGAACAAGCAAGAAAAAACGTATCTTTTGTGTAAAATAAAGAATGTTTACTGAAATCAATGATTCTATGAAGTACTTTGATGTAACTTTAAGAACTATTTAGTGAAAAGTACTGTTGTTCTGGGAAGCCAAAATTCTGATTCTGTGTTATCGTGAAGAATATCCCCGATCCCTTATTTCAAATAGTCAGATCAAACTAAAGTGTACTGACTGGTTGTACTGTATGTTTATTAGTATAGCTTATAAGATGCATTTTATATTTTATTAACATACAATGTAAATTAATAATAATAAATTATATTGTAATAATCACTTTATTGATAACTTAATGTTTAACATAATATTTTGTATCTAATGTTGTTATTACATGCTTATGTCAAAGTACACAAACATATTTTAATAGTGTTTTTAGCTTTTTTGTCCATATGGTAATAGTCAAAATAAAATTGGACCCCAATAACTTTCTTTGTGTGAACAAAATCAGCCTTTTTTATGACAAAATAGATTTAGAATATAGGTTTAGAAAATCACACAACTTTAAAAGTCTGTATTTTGCTTATGTATATTCATTTTCTTACTGCATGTGTATATAAATACTGTATATATTTGTTCATGTTGTTATGTAACACATAATTAGCATCCTGTTGGAAAAAAAGTATATTGTTTTGTTACAAAAAATAATTTAATTGGTTTATTAAATGAAGAGAGATTTTTCTTGATTTACTAAACGATGAAATAAATTCAATTTAGAAAATAAAATGTATAACCTAACCCTAATAAAAATCATTAGATTAACTGTTCCTTTAAGTTGCATGAAACGAAACAGGTTAAGGTAAATAAATAGATGAGTGCATTATTGGAAACGTCCAGTGATCTACCTTTTTCCTGGAATGGTCTGTTGATTAGTATGAGTCATAATGTTGCTGATTCTGATTCATGTGACTCATCTCAGAGGTTGGTGATTTCCTGGCACTGGATCTTGGAGGGACAAATTTTCGAGTGATGCTTGTGAAAGTGGGTGAGGATGAAGAGCGAGGCTGGAAGGTGGAAACCAAACATCACATGTACTCCATCCCTGAAGATGCCATGACCGGCACAGCTGAAATGGTGAGACTAGTGTAAAAAAAAAATCGAAAACATGCAATATTTCAGAGTGATGCCATAATATAGCCACTTTTCAGTAAACAATTCTTTGAGGAGTCATTTATTTTCTTAGTTTGAAGAGTCATTTTAGTCATTTTAATAAACTGTTTTTCACTATAAAGACTCTTTTGTGGGATGAAAATGTGTTGTGCATTTTAAAGATGCTTCATCCATGGCAATAAACCAACAACAAACATTTATTTTTAAGAGTTTACTTAACCTTATCAAATACATGTATTCTGACAATTAAGTCACATTGTTTTCATGATATCATGTGTTCTCTTCATCTAGTTGTTTGATTACATTGCCGGCTGCATATCTGACTTCCTGGACAAACATAATCTCAAACACAAGAAGCTACCACTGGGATTCACCTTCTCTTTTCCAGTGCGTCACGAGGATTTGGACAAGGTCAGTGTCCTGCTTTTGTGCAAACGTGAGCCTCGTAAGGTTTATTAATGCACACTGATGCTGTCACAAATGTCACTGCAAATAATAATAATAATAATAATAATAATAATAAAATAACAATAATAATAATATTTATTATAAAAATGATGTAGAGAGAATTGTTATTTAGAAATTGTTGGGAAATGTCCTACAAAATAATTGTCAAGTAACATACTGAAAATAAAATAAAATATTAGAGCCATGAAATTAGTTTTATTGTTCTTAAATTGTTTTTTTTTTAATAATTTTTTTCTGTAACAAATAATTATTTTCTACTTTTGTTCCTTTGTTTTGTTTTCTCATTGGACTCAATCTTTATGCAAACCTACTAACTTAAATAAATTAAAAAAGCAATCAATAATAGTAAATAATAACAAACCACAAATAATATAAAAATAAATAAACCTTAAATTAATTAATTAATATATGTAATTTGACTATGTGTATGGCAGAACTTTGATTAATTAATAAAATACGTTGTCTGCCATAAAATTTGCTAAAACTTTTTTATTATTTAATTAAATAAATGAATGAATAACTGAATAAACAAATGAATGAACAGTACTTTGATTAATTCATCCAAAATTTTCTCAAATTCTGCTACAATATGTTACAACTCCTGTTTTTATTAATTAATTATGCCAGATTTTTTGGCTTTCATGAAAATCAAAAAACTGAAATATGTTGTTATAATAAATAAATAAATAAATAAATAAATAAATAAATAATGTATTTTTTAAGTTGTGGCATACACTGTAAACAAAATAAGTTGACTTTACTTAAAATTGTAAGCCAACTTTCTGCACAGTTTTCTTTTAGTTGACTCAACTTTTAACCAAAGTACTGTATTTTTGCAAGAACTTAACTCAATTTAAATTTAATCAACTCAAATAGCTTTGAATCAAGTTGCCTTACAATTTTAAGTAGTCAACTTCAAGCACTGCATTTTGTCAACTCCAAAAGCTCTGCAGCAAGTCGCCTTAACATTTTTTTTTACAGTGTATCACCTCATTATGAAGTGTAGCTGACTTATGGATATGTGACTGGTGTTTTTCCCAATATTGTGATCCTGATTTACTCTTCAATCATGACAGGGGATTCTTCTGAACTGGACTAAAGGCTTCAAGGCCTCTGGCGCTGAGGGCAATAATGTTGTGGGTCTTCTGAGAGACGCCATCAAAAGAAGAGGGGTTAGTGTGCATCATTTACCATCCAGCACAAATTCTGCTCGGATATTTTCTAAATGATAATGGAAAGGTTAGAAAGGAAAAAAACGGAAAGCTGCTCTTAAACCAGAAGAACATTAGATCACTTAAAAGCTCATAATAAAAGGTTTTAAGCACCAACCTATAAAAAGTGACGAATAATTCTTGCTTTAGGACTTTGAAATGGATGTGGTGGCCATGGTGAACGACACAGTAGCCACCATGATCTCCTGCTACTATGAAGACCGCAGCTGTGAAGTCGGCATGATAGTAGGTAAGAGAGAGCAAACACACCAGCACACACACACTTACAGCCATGTCAATATAATTACAGCCTGGATATAAACTTTACAACAGGCAGATGGAATATTTTAACAACCACTGGAGGAAAAAACAGCAATAAAGGAATATGCCTAAAGCTTTTAGATGAGACATCTGTAGACAGTTTTTCACGCACCTGTTTTAGATTCAGGGTGGTTTTTGTGTCAGGAAAACAGACAAATACACTTTTAGGTGTTTCTACTGTGATTTACATTATCAAACTATGCCAGTAAACTGCAAAAATAAAATGATTTATTTATTAACAACTTTGTGTTTGGTTTCTAGTACAAATCTCGAAACAATTCTTAAGTCAAGAAGCATTTTCCAGACAAGCAAACAATATTGTCTTGTTTCCAGAAATAATAAGTCAAAATTAAGTGTTTTCCCTCAAAACAAGCAAACACAGAGTTATTTTGAAACAAGATTATTTTGTAGGAAAAGGGAAAAAAAACTCTATTAATTTCGATGTATTGTTTTTGGAGACAAGACAATATTTTTGATTGTCTAGAAAAGGCTTCTTAAATTAAGAATTTGTTTTTCGAGATCTGGACTGGAAACAAGACAAAAACTCTGAGATCCAACTCCAATTTCACAAAAATATTTCCCCCTAGCAATAAGCCATACATCTCCATATCACCAGCTCTTATTTCACAGACCTAAGTTTACCAATACTCCTTTATATCTATATTATAAAGGTTTGTACACAGATAGATTCAACAAAACAAAATGTGTGTAGTATTATCTGAATAATGAAGATGTCCTTCAATCCTCTTTTTTATTCTAAAGCAGTGGTTCCCTAACTTTTTGCTGTGTGCACCCCTTTCTAATATTAGACATCTGTCAAGCACCCCTTTCTCTGATTAAACTCCACATTTTTTACGGCAATAGCTAAATACACATATTTTCTGTATACGCAATTAGAATAAAAATAATAAAATTTGTGAATTTAAAGGACAAGCTTTTATGAAGTTAAAGATTTTCACAGCGTCATTAAGTACAGACAAAAGTTCATCTGGCATGTTTTACATCGCTAGAGCTTCTTGGTGGATGCTGCAGTGTACCTAAGAAACCGATGGTGCAACTTTTCGAATGAAAGCTACTACTTTGTTCTTTCAATTTTCCTTAAAAAAAAAAAAACTTACTGGCATGTCTTGTAAGTGTCTGTGTCTTGTTTGTAAGTGCCGGACCATATATGAGGGCTTACGACTGCTATTAGCTAAAACCTCATCACAGACTACACACTGCGGATTTGGATTTTCTGCATCTCCAATCCATGTAAACCTGAAACCAATAAAACTTCCACTATGTTTGCGTTTCTTACTTGACATTTTCTTACTCTCTACCCTGATTCTTTTCATCAGTACATCTCTGCTGGATTTCTCTGTTTCCGCCTGAGCTCCTTCACCTCGTTCGTTATCCTCCGAGTCCATATGTTTAACGTTGGTGCAGATCTCCATAGAAGAGGCCGATGTAGATGGATCCCTTCTGTCACTTGACTTTTTAAAGTGCCAGTTTTTAATCAGGTGTCCATTTTGTAGACTATAGTAAGCGGAAAAAAAATTACAAATGTACTATCACTTAGCGCCTAATGTGACAGGGCGTGGCTATTGTGACACAGACATGGAACAGCAAGATGACTATGCATAGGTTGTAAATTACAATTTTTAATGTGATTTTTTTGTTTGCTTATTTGTTTCTCTCTCAGTGAATTTCTTTTCTCTCAGAAATATGACATGTGAAGTTTACCCAAAATAAATGCATAAAAATAAAAGATAAAATTTTCTGTCATTACAAACATTCTCTCATGCACCCCTGGTGGTCAGACTGTGCATCCCAAGGGGTGCACGCATCCCAGTTTGGGAACCGCTGCTCTAAAGCACAGGTCTCAAACTATATTCCTGGAGAGCCACAGCTCTGCACAGTTTTGCTCCAACTTTAATCAAGCTGATCCAACTAATCAAGGTGTTCTAGACTATTAGAAACTATTAAGCAGGTGTGAGTTGGAGGTGGTTGGAGCTAAAGTGTGCAGAGTTGTGGCCCTCCAGGGATTGAGTTAGAGACCATTGCTCTAAAAAACAAAGCAGTGGCAATTTAAAGAAGCAGTCCCAAGTTTTCATATGTAAACCGATTTTAAGAAAATACACAGCGGTTCCCAGAATCGGGGTTGCTTGGTGATTTCCTAAAACCAAATTCATTTGATTAAACTATTAGAATTACCATATTTTATCGATAACCCTTCATTCAGTTATTCATTTTCTTTTCGACTTAGTCCTTTTATTTATAGATAACCTGCCGAAGATAAAAATAGCAGTTAATAGTTACATAAAAACAAAACAACATGCTATTTTTTTTCTTTCTATTGGATTGTGACCCCAGAGGTCATTGAATTAGATTATTGTCTATTAATAAGATAATTTAATTCTGTTAATTTGGCTTATTGGAATGAATGCACCATTGAGTGGAGGAATTTTTATTGTTAATCACCTCAGAGGATATTGGGGGTCACAAGTCACTGGCAGTGTTATTATTTCAGGGGTCACAGGCTGAAAAGTTTGGGAACCTCTGGCTTAATGTAATCAGTCATCTGGGCAAGTTTTAACTGGTTGATTTGACACCATTCACCTGCAATGTTTCTGTCCATGTTTCTCCCTCAGGTACAGGCTGCAATGCGTGTTATATGGAGGAGATGCGTAAGGTGGAGCTGGTTGAAGGAGAGGAGGGCCGGATGTGTGTGAACACAGAATGGGGGGCATTTGGGGACCACAGTGAACTGGAGGACTTCAGGCTGGAATACGACCGTGTTATTGATGAGACGTCACTCAATCCTGGACATCAGCTGTGAGTGAGAATGCAAAATAATCATATTTAAAATTTTGGAGTGGAAAAAATAACAGAAAAGCACACTACATTATAAAAGTGATGCCACTGAAAACAAATGTGGATGTAACTCTTGATGAATCACGAATAAGGCCAACTCCTAAAGCGACGGTTCATCCAAAAATGGAAATTTAATCATCATTTACTCTCCCTTTAGCTGTTCCAAAACGGTTTCTTTTTTCTGTTGAACACAAAAGAAGATATTTTGAAGAATGTTTGAAATATGTAACCATTGACTTCCTCAGTATTTGTTAAAATTAAACTGAATAAAAAACTGATAAATGCTTGGAAACACTTTAGGCCAGGGTTTCTCAACCAGTGGGTCACGGCCCACTAGTAGGCCTCAGTGATCCTGCGGGTGGGCCGCGAGATAGCTTAAAATTACCTTAATTGTACTATAATTATTTGATTTCATTATTAAATATCTTTTATAGAAAAATGACTGGTGTAATGGCATTTCCCATTCTTTGTTATTGATTACTTTGGACTCTGTGGAAAAAGAGCCTCACTGTAAAATACAGACTTAACCATGGCTGCACCACATGCTCAGCTGTATAAAGCAAACCGTCACGCAAATGTAAAGGTAATGGTGATTAGAGTTAAAACCAGTTTGCATGTCTCACGTCTGCGACTCGGATCAGAGTCGGACATCTTCGTTGATTCACAAAGTATGCGTGCTCTCTTTGTGTGAACTCTTTAAAATGAGAGCACAGTTGTCCAAATTAGTGTTTTATAACGCGAATGCGAGTGTTTTATAATGTACGCGTGCCCATACAGGAGGATCTAGCAAGACTCGGTGGTGTTTTAGTGAACAGCTGTTCACTACTGTCACCGAACTCCAATAATATCCTAAAACCCCAACCGCCTTCATATATATATATATATGTTTATTCTGTTGACCATTAAAAAAATGGCCTAAAGGGGCTAATAATTTTGTCCTTAAAATGGTGTTTAAAAATGTAAAACTGCTATATATATATATATATATATATATATATATATATATATATATATATATATGTGTGTGTGTATATATATATATATATATATATATATGGGCAAAGCAGTGGAGCAGTTGGTAGTGCTGTCGCCTCACAGCAAGAAGGTCGCTGGTTCGAGCCTCGGCTTAGTTGGCGTTTCTGTGTGGAGTTTGCATGTTCTCCCTGCATTCGCGAGGGTTTCTTCCGGGTGCTTCGGTTTCCCCCACTGTCCAAAGACATGCGGTAAAGGTGAATTGGGTAGGCTAAATTGTCCGTAGTGTATGAGTGTGTGTGTGTGGATGTTTCCCAGAGATGGGTTGCAGCTGGAAGGGCATACGCTGCGTAAATACTTGCTGGATAAGTTGCCGGTTCATTCCGCTGTGGCGACCCCTTTTAAATAAAGGGACTAAGCTGACAAGAAAATTTATGAATATATATATATATATATATATATATATATATATATATATATATATATATATATATATATATATATATATATATATATATATATATATATATATATATATATATATATATATATATATATATATATATATATATATATATATATATATTTTTTTTTTTTTTTTTTTTTTTTTTCATTTTTATATCTAAAATGCTGTGGAAAAAAGCGAAGCAAAATAAATGTTTTGCTAATATTTAAAAGTTTAAAATAAGCATTTTCTTTAGACAATCAGTTTAAGAAATAATATCAGACATGAGCCTTCAAAACATTTTCGTAGAAGGAGGTGGGTCCTGAAGTGAAAAAGGTTGAGAACCCCTGCTTTTTTTTTTTTATCTCTTTAACTCATAACTATCCCTTTAATGAAAATTATGAGATGAAACAAATGTGATTTACTACTTACTTCCACTGAACCAATATAATTATTTAAAAAAATCTAAATTATACAGAAGCCACTGTGACTAGTTTGATAACCTGAGATTCAAATTCAGATTTACTTACTTAAATCTGCTTTATTCCTACTTGTAGCCCTTTTTAGTGACCACTCATTAATCTTTTGTGACCCCTAAAGTAGGGATAGCAACCCCTACATCAGGAACCACTAATCTAGATTATAACTTCACAGTTTTTATCATTATTATTTTAAAACTGAAAGCAGGTTTCCTCAGATATAATTTCGCATCAGTTTAATCAGAGTCTGAATTCAGTTTGCTCACACGATTACCTCAACGTTCAGGAAGAGCTTGTTAGCCGGAGCTCTTATGTGCTGTCCAGGCGACAGGGCTTGTTTTTCTGTACATGTGGAGCGACTGACGGCAGCCACGTCAGTGCAGGAATACTCACGGCTGGATTAATGGCCAGGGAAGCAGATCATTAGCGATGCTGCTCTGCTAATGGTTATTTACAGTGGATGCTAGAATGTACAGAGCTCAATGGGCCGCTCCTCTGTCCACGTCACTGCAGGCCATCTGTATTTCTAGCTGTCAGTGTTTTAGCTGAGGATGACCGTTCTAATATGTACATATTCTCTTTTAGGTACGAGAAGCTGATTGGTGGGAAGTACATGGGTGAGCTTGTGCGTCTTGTGCTGCTCAAACTGGTGAATGAAGATCTGCTGTTCAACGGCGAAGCCTCAGACCTGCTGAAAACGCGAGGAGCTTTTGAAACACGCTTTGTCTCCCAGATTGAGAGGTACGACTGAGCTGCTGAAAAGCTCATTAGCTTTAGACTTACACATGTATATTAAAGCTTTATACCAAATGAATATGAAGTTGTTAAAATGAGTGACCAGGTGCAAGCTTCATTTGCATAAAACATGCTTAAACTAAGGGCGTTCCAAATAATTAGCCCCCCTGTTAATTTTTTTCCCCCAGTTTCTGTTTAAAGAAGAGAAGATTTTTTTCAACTCATTTCTAAACGTAATAGTTTTAATAACTCATCTCTAATAACTGTTTTATTTTGATCTTTGCCATGATGACAGTATATAATATTTGACTAAATATTATTTTAAGACACTTTTATACAGCTTAAAGTGACATTTAAAGGCTTAACTAGGTTAACTAGGCAGGTTAAGGTTATTAGTCGAGTCATTGTATAACAATGGTTTATTCTGTCAACTATCGAGAAAAAAAAAATGCTTAAAGGGGCTAATAATGTTAACCTTAAAATGGATCTTAAAAAAATAAAAACTGATTTTATTGTAGTCGAAATAAAACAAATAAGACTTTCTCCAGAAGAAAAAATATTATCAGACATGCTGTGAATATTTTCTCTGTGAAACATTATTTGGGAAATATTTAAAAAAGAAAAGTAAAATCAAAGAAAAAAATCAGAAAATCAGAAAAATTCTGACTTCAACTGTGTGTGTGTGTGTGTGTGTATGTATATATATATATATATCATTTTTAAGTGGACTATCATTCTCACTACAAATTTAATTACATTTACTAATTTCTTTTTTTTATATATATATCAGTGACACAGGGGACAGAAAGCAGATCTACAACATCCTCAGTTGTCTGGGAATCCTGCCATCAGAGCTGGACTGTGATATTGTGCGTCTGGCGTGTGAGAGTGTGTCTACGCGAGCGGCTCACCTGTGCGGGGCAGGACTCGCCGGCGTCATTAACCTCATGAGAGAGCGACGCTGCCAGGAGGAGCTAAAGATCACTGTGGGGGTGGATGGATCTGTCTACAAACTACACCCTCAGTGAGTACAATATGAGAAAAGAGGGGTGTGAGGGTGTGGGGTAATTGTATTTGGGAAGCTATTCGCACAAAAAATGTGTGGGGAACACTTTAAAGTATAAAGAGTGGTCAATCATTTATTTTAAAAGGCTTGATTGTGTTCATTGGGTGCACTGTAATCATCTGTGATCATGCTTGTTTTTTAAAAATGTATTCTACACCATTGTTTCCCATTCTTCTAAAATGGGTTTTGACAACCCTTTTTCACCATGACACTTTGATTTCTGGTTCCTTATTAATAAATAATTAACTAACTAATAATAATTAAGCACAAAATAAATTTTTAATTATATTTTTACATCCAAAACCAGGAAGAGTGGTTTATAAAAAGCATCAAAGCTTTGCTTTGTCCATGTGGAAGAACCATTAAGGATTAGGAGTGGGGTTACCATGACCAACAAATAAATAACACATTTGACTGCCATTTTTGAAATAGCAGCTAAGCACGATGCTACAGCTAATACAAAATTAGGATTTTTCCTTCTTCCTATTAATTTAGGGGAAGATCGAACAATTCTGACCTCAAAGAGATGCATTATTTATAGCCATTTCAAAGATGGTTGCTAGGCCTGATTTCTGTGAGATTAGCATAAAGCTACGTTTTGTGAAACAAGATGATATTAGTGCTAAATGAGTAGTAATATATCATGTTAGATTTTTATTGGTCAGCTGTTTTAAAAGTGACAGTGATTTATTTATGCATTTTTTGGTATTTTTGCCCAAAATTAGCACAACAACAAGAAATGTTATCATATATTCACACCTCACTTGGTGAATATTGTGATGCTCAATTGACTGAATTATGTCAAGTGAGACATTTCACAACCGAAAATGCCAGCTCAGACTGATATTCCCCCATACATTCCCCCTGTGGCAGCTCTCAAGCCAATGGAAAAGCACTTGTTGGCAGTCACAACAACTCTGAACTAGCAATTGCAGTAGCTCTGGACTAGCATCTGGTTCATTCTGGTGGAAAAGGGGAAAGATTTGGCTGCTAGCCCGGTGTGCTTTTTGACCAGTACAATCAAACTAGAGGTGGGGTTTATGTAAATTTAAGGTTTGTGATGTCACAAATCCAGGAAGAAATTGATTCGTTTGTTGTAGGTCTTAAAAAGCTAATCCAGTAAAAGGAAATAACTCCCTTTGCATTGAACTTTGAGCGTTGTAAATTTGCAGATGTTGTCTATGCTCAAACAGCAACATTACAAACTAACTTTAGTTAAAAAAAGAAAATCATATTGAAGGACCCCTTTAAAAGATAAAACACAATGTGATATAAACTCAACTAATAAGTGTTTTCCTGTTTCCACCAGTTTCAAGGAACGTTTCCATAAGCTTGTGTGGGAATTGACTCCTCACTGTGAAATTACCTTTATCCAGTCAGAAGAAGGCAGCGGTCGTGGAGCGGCGCTCATTTCTGCTGTGGCGTGCAAGATGGCCGCCTGCATGCTGACGCCTTGATAAAACACACAATTGGACGACTTCAGGTGGATCTCTTGAATCACCGCTGACCTGCTATGATAAAGCGGTCCCAGAAAGCCTTCTTATGGTCAAAGCGCTTCTCTCCTTTTGAACATTGCATTGCGTATGTGAAGTGGCCGACTGCTGGCAACATGTATTTGCCAGATGCGCACAACTCACTAAAATATTTAACATATGTATCATTTTAAAGCTGTATTTGCTGTTGAAGACAACATACGTCATTTGTTATTGCTGTTGTCCTGAGTACATTCAGGAAATTATATTTAACTAGCACCTTCATGGATGTTTTGGGAGGCTTGGAGAGAAGCGGAGGGAACTTGATTCGATTGTAAATATATGGGCTGTACAGGCTCTGCAAGGTAATTGTGCACTGTTTATTGCTTGTTTTATTTATTAACTTAAATTATCTTTTTATTCTGTGGAAATCAGAACTGTTTGATTATTTTCCACAGGGTCTGAATTTACTTTGTACACGTGCAAATGATTCATTATTGTAAATAAAGCTGATGAGCTATTGAGTGTAGACTTGATTTGTTTTGTTTTTAGAGGTATGTTTAAAATCTATTGAAGCTTATTTTAAACATTACACCATTCAAACATAAAGATAAATAATTTTTTAAAATAAATTTAAGGATATTCCTAAACATTAAAATTATTAAATTGTATTCAATAAAAAATTCAAATACATTTCTTACTATCGATAAACCAACACTATTTGTTTGAAAAAAGAAAAAAAAATTGATTAAATAATAAATCTATGAATCAATGAAGAGGTCTTTGATAAAAATAAAATCAATTAACATAAAATAATATATATATATACTTCCAGGGCTGTTTATATTGTAGTTAATATTAAGCTGCACCATGTTGGTGTTTCGAAACATCTAATTTTTATGAAGTGGGTAGTTAGCCCAACGCACAACCCCTAACCTGGAGGACAAGGACATACAGTGACACTACGGACAATTTAGCTTGCCCAATTCACCTGTACAGCATCTCTTTGGACTTGTGGGGGACACCAGAGCACCCTGAGCAAACCTATGCGAACATGAGGAGAACAAGCAAACTCAGAAATGCCCACTGTCCCAGTCGGGGCTTGAACCAGCGACCTTCTTGCTGTGTGGTGACAGCGCTACCCACTGCGCCACCATGCCGTCTAATAAAATAGTACTTATTTTACATTAAAATAAGATAAAAGGGTATCACACAATGAATATACTATAAATATTTTTTTTATAATATGCTTTATTCCATGATCTGTTGAAATTCTTGATTCTGATTGGCTGGAGGGTGTGCATTATTTTCACTGAAACGCACAGGCAGTTCCAGTTAGTTTGAAACATAGATATTTACACTAGATGTCACCGAAGAGCTTAGAATCACCAAGAGGCGACACTCAATGGAACATTCCATTGCAACAGCAGCACCCAGCAACAGCCCCGGATTCTGCCATTTCGGAGTAAAAGCAGTCGGCTGTCCATTGGATCTTATTGCTGTCGCGATGGCAAGCAGCTGCTTTGTTTATTATTTATTTATTTAAAAAGCACGTTAAAGCTGAGATACAACCTGAAAGATGACAATACAACATTTAATATCACAATCATCAGCATATTTAAGACTTTATTTTACAAACCTATAATATGCTGTAGTTCTATTGGAATTTTCATTCCAAAATGGCTGCCACACCACCTAGTTTTCCAAATCGCAGTAGATTGTCGCCTCTTGGTGATTCTATGCTCGATGTTCTATGCTCTTGATGTCACCTTGTCTTTTGGAAGGAATGCATCAATAGAGCCGCCATTTTGGTACCAGAAAATGCTCCATTGAAATGAAGGTTACCAAGGTACATTGGCAGACTGGAGCCATATAAACACATGTGTGATCGGAAGTATGCAATGTTTATGTGCATGCAAATGTACTGTCCTCCCTCCCTGTTAAATTTGGTCTAATCCATATGCCCTAAAACACACTCCTTTTTCACTATATTTAGTGCAAGTTGGTGCCACTTTGCCTTATGGTCAATGCAGTAAGTGACTATATTATCATCAATAACGTTACGTGTTGAGCATACAATTTAATAACACACAAAATCGTAATTTACAGTATATAATTTACAGTACACAAATATCGACAAAACATATTTACAGTAATTCACCCTACTGTAATTTTATGACTGTAAATGAAGTAGTTCATCCGCATAGGGCAGATTTACGTATTACAGGTGAGATTTTGTCCATTTTTTCATTCATATATTTACAGTAAACAAATGTCTAGCCTATTTGAATGTACAATAACTTTAAAAATAATACAATTACAGTGGGGTGAATGACTGTAGAGATTTTTCAAAAATATTTGTGTACTGTACAAATATGAAGGAAAATATGAGTAAAATCCCACCTTTAGAAAGTCAGTCTGGCCTATGTGAATGTACTACACCCTTTAAAATCATAAAGTGACACTAGGGTGATTTTCTGTAAATATGTTTTGTCAATGTTTGTGTATTGTGAAAGTATGAATGAAAATATGGGTAAATCTCCTCTGTAATAAGTCAGTCTGGCCACTGTGAATGTACTACACCCTTTAAAACCATCCAATTGCAGTAGGATGATTTACTGTTTAAATTTTTTTCAAAAATATGTCTACTGTACAAATATGAATGCAAATATGGATAAAATCTCACCTGTAGTAAGTCAGTCTGGCCTATGTGAATGTACTACAACCTTAAAAATCTAAACATTACAGTAGGGTGTTTTACTGTAAATGTTTTTGCTAATATTTGTGTACTGTAAAAATATTTATGAACATATGGGTAATATCTCACCTGTAGTAAGTCAGTGAGGCTTCTGTAAATGTAGTACACCCTTTAAAGTCATTAAACAACTGTAGGGTGAATTACTGTAAAAAAATCTTTCAAAAATATTTAATTACTGTAAAAATATTAATTAATATATAAATAAAATATTATCTGTAGTAAGTCAGTGAGGTCTTAGTGTATGTAGTACACCCTTTAAAATGATAAAATTACAGTAGGGTGATTAACTGTAAATATGTTTTCTCAATATTTGTTTACTCTACAGATATCAATGAAAATATGGGTAAAATATCACATGTAGTAAGTCAGTCTCATCTTTCTGAATTTACTACACCATTTAAATTCATAAAATTACAGTAGGGTGATTTACTGTAAATATGTTTTGTCAATATTTGTGTATTGTAAATATGAATGAGAATAGGAGCAAAATCTCACTTGTAGTGAGTCAGTCTGGCCCACGTGAATGTACTAAACCCTTTTAAAATAAAAATAAAAATTACAGTAGGGTGATTTACTGTAAAACATTTTTCAAAAAATATTGTGAACTGTAATATTATGAATGAAAATATGGGTAAAATCTCACCTGTAGTACGTTATTCTGGTCTGAATGTACTACACCCTTTAAAACCATAAAATTGCAGTAGGGTGATTTAATGTAATTTACTTTCAAAAATATTTGTGTACTGTACAAATATAAATAAAAATATGAATAAAATCTCACCTGTAGTAAGTCAGTCTGGCCTATGAGAATGTACCACATACCTTAAAATCATAAAATTACAGTAGATTGATTTACTGTAAATGTTTTATCAACATTTGTTTACTGTAAAAATATAAATATAAATATGGATAAAAACTCATCTGTAGTCAGTCAGTCAGTCTGGCCTATGCAAATGTGCTACACCCTTTAAAATTATAAAATAACAGTATGGTGAATTACAGTAAATAATTTTGGTAAAAAATTGGAAAATATTGGTACAATCTCACCTGTAGTAAGTCAGTGAAGTCTTAGTGAATGTACTAAACTCTTTAAAATCATAAAATTATAGTAGGTTGAATTACAGTAAATATTTTTTTATATGTTTGTGTACTGAAAAATTATGAATGAATATATATATATACAAGTCTGGCTTATGTAAATGTACAACATCATTTAAAATCATAAAATAACAGTATGGTGAATTACTATTAAAAATTTTCAAAAATATTTGTGTACTGTACAAATATGAATAAAAATATGGGTAAAATCTCACATGTATTCAGTCAGTGAGGGCTTTTTGAATTTACTACATCCTTTAAAATCATAAAATTACAGTAGATTAATTGACTGTAAATATATTTTATCAATATTTGTGTACTGTAAAAATATGAATGAAAATATGGGTAAAATCTCAACTGTAGTAAGTCAGTCTGGCCTATGCGAATGTACTACACCCTTTAAAATGAGAAAATTACAGTTGGGTGATTTACTGTAACTATTTTTTTCTATAATATTTGCATACGGTATATTTATATGACAAAAAATATGTATAAATCTCACTTGTGGTAAGCCAGTTTGGCTTCTGCTGATGTGCTACACAATTTAAAATCCAAAATAAATAAATAAATAAATAAATAAATAAATTAATTAATTAATTAATAATAATAATAATAATAATAATAATAATAATAATAATAATAATAATATGGTTGGGTGAATTACTGTAAGCGTTCTTCAATATTTAAGTACTTTACAAATATGATTGGAAATAAGGGTAAACTCTGACATGTAGTAAGGCAGTCTGGTTGAATGAAGTAGCATAAATATTTTTCTAAACTTTTTGTGTACTGTAAATATATTGGTGGAAAATTGAGAAAATCTCTTTTGTAGTAAGTCAGTTTAGTCTCTAGAAATGTGAACACACATTAGTATGAGAAGCTTACATCTACAGTAAACATCTCTATATTTGTGTGATGTATACATACATGAAGGGGAAAATGTGAGAAATAACATTTAGATCCTTTAGCTGATGTGTATTGTATACTTATGACAAGCGTTATTGAGATAACTCTACTGAGCTTATGAAGCTTGGATTGAATTTTAGCCTACGTGTCTGCTGCTCCGTTGTGGCATAGTTAGTACCAGCTCGGCCTGCCACTTGATTAACTGGCACTCCCTGGGGCAAGGCACCCTTGTACGCTTTGGCAGTGTTTACTAACAGCTCCAAAGACCCTCGTGGAAACACGGGAAGCTGCGATCGACAAATGCAGACATCCCACCTCTTCAGGAAACTCCAAAATGCTAATGGATTATATTTTTTACATCGTGATCATCCAGCAGTTGGAGCTCATTAAGACGCAAAATGCAATCAGTGGAGCAGCCGCTGATTTGAGCGCTGTAAAGCACGGATTTTACAAAACTTCAAGTCGCTTTAAGAAGCCACCAAAAAAGAAAAAAGGTGGAAAGAGAAAACAGATTGTGGACTGCACACGTAATTACACAAAGACAAGGCGACAGAGGCAAGGAAAAACCCTTTACTGACTGGCGAAAGTGAAGAATTAAAGAACCTCGAGAGAAACTAGGCTCAGTTGGGCATGGCAGTTTTTCCTGTGGCCAAACGTTTTGTGCAGAGCTGCAGTCTAGGCGCTGAAGGCTGGGGAACGCTGGACGTCAGCAAAGACTCGTTTGTTCCTGGAGCGTCACAGGAATAAGTCACATGCTCTCAACT